CCTAGATCCCTTTCCGCCATGCTCCTTCCTAGACAGTCGCTTCCCATCTTGTATGTATGGAACTGATTGTTCCTTCCTAAGTGGAGCACTCTGCATTTCTCCTTATTAAACCTCATCCTGTTTACCTCTGACCATTTCTCTAACTTGCTAAGGTCATTTTGAATTATGTCCCTATCCTCCAAAGAAGTTGCAACCCCACCCAGTTTGGTATCATCTGCAAACTTAATAAGAGTACTCTCTATCCCAATATCTACATCATTGATGAAGATATTGAACAGTACGGGTCCCAAAACAGACCCTTGAGGAACTCCACTTGTTATCCCTTTCCAGCAGGATTTAGAACCGTTAACAACAACTCTCTGACTACGGTTATCCAGCCAATTATGCACCCACCTTATCGTGGCCCTATCTAAGTTATATTTGCCTAGTTTATCAATAAGAATATCATGCGAGACCGTATCAAATGCCTTACTAAAGTCTAGGTATATGACATCCACCGCTTCTCCCTTATCCACAAGGCTCGTTATCTTTTCAAAGAAAGCTATCAGATTAGTTTGGCATGACTTGTTCTTCACAAACCCATGCTGGCTATTCCCTATCACTTTATTACTTTCCAAGTGTTTGCATACGATTTCCTTAATTACCTGCTCCATTATCTTCCCTGGGACAGACGTTAAACTGACCGGTCTATAATTTCCTGGGTTGTTCTTATTCCCCTTTTTATAGATGGGCACAATATTTGCCCTTTTCCAGTCTTCTGGAATCTCCCCTGTCTGCCATGATTTTTCAAAGATCATAGCTAAAGGCTCAGATACCTCCTCTATCAGCTCCTTGAGTATCCTGGGATGCATTTCATCAGGACCTGGTGACTTGCTGACATCTAACTTTCCTAAGTGATTTTTAACTTGTTCTTTGTGTATCCTATCTTCTAAACTTACCCTCTCTCTGCTTGTATTCACTACGTTAGGCACACCTCCAGACTTCTCGGTGAAGACCGAAACAAAGAAGTCATTGAGCATCTCCGCCATTTCCAAGTTCCCTGTTACTGCTTCTCCCTCCTCGCTAAGCAGTGGGCCTACCCTGTCCTTGGTCTTCCTCTTGCTTTTAATGTATTTATAAAAGGTCTTCTTGTTTCCCTTTATGCCTGTAGCTAGTTTGATCTCATTTTGTGCCTTTGCCTTTCTAATCTTGCCCCTGCATTCCCGTGTTGCTTGCCTATATTCATCCTTTGTTAGTTGTCCTAGTTTCCATTTTTTATATGACTCCTTTTTTATTTTGAGATCATGCAAGATCTCCTTGTTAAGCCAAGCTGGTCTTTTGCCATATTTTCTATCTTTCCTACACAGCGGAATTGTTTGCTTTTGGGCCCTTAACAACGTCCCTTTGAAATACTTCCAACTCTCCTCAGTTGTTTTTCCCTTCAGTCTTGCTTCCCATGGGACCTTACCTACAAGTTCTCTGAGCTTATCAAAATCTGCCTTCCTGAAATCCATAACCTCAATTGTGGTGGTCTCCCTTCTACCTTTCCTTAAGATCATGAACTCTATTATTTCGTGATCACTGTCCCCTATACTGTCTTCCACTTTCAAGTTCTCAACTAGTTCCTCCCTATTTGTTAAAACCAAATCCAGAACAGCTTCTCCTCTGGTAGCTTTTTCAACCTTCTGAAACAGAAAGTTGTCTCCAATGCAGTCCAGAAACTTATTGGATAGCCTGTGCCTCGCTGTGTTAGTTTCCCAACATATGTCTGGGTAGTTGAAGTCCCCCATCACCACCAAATCTTGGGCTTTGGATAGTTTTGTTAATTGTTTATCCTTCTATCCTTGCTATTTTTTTCTCGAGCCTCTTCATGGGCAGTGGGCAAAGCTGTGGCTTGGAGAGGCAAGCTCCCCAACCTGTCACCCTGCCCATACCCAACCCTTGCTCTGCCCAGGCCCAGCCCCTCCCCACTATCCTACCCCACTCTCTCCCTCTTCACCCATTCCAGCCAAATCCCTGAATCCAAGGATAACAAATGACAGTTGAGGGGAAAAAAACCCTCTCTTCTAAAATTTCTTTCTAAAGAAAATAGAGCAGGTTTTCTCTGCATGCCAGATTGTGATGACTGGACCTGCAGTAGATACTTAATTAAAAACACTAAATATGGAGATAAAAAAATGTCAGTAACAGGTTTTTTGATACACCTGGGAGTTTTTTGATATACCCAGAAGTTTGTCAGAAATTTATTGTATAAACTTTGTAGTAAGGACAAGTCAGTTGTTCTGCTGAATACAACAAAGTGTTATGGAACACATGTGACTCTTTTTCTGTTTTACATTTTCTTCATCAGTCTTTCAAAACTGATTTTATATTTGAAATATACTCTTAAAACTTCATAAAGTAACCATTCCAGATTGCTGGATATTTAAAGCTTTAGGGAGTAGACGAGTTAGTCTGTCTTAAACTTAAAAAGCAACGAATGATCTGGTAGCACTTTATAGACTAACAAAACATGTAGCTGGTATCATGAGCTTTTATAGGCAAAAACCATTTCCTCAGATTGCGGGTTTTGTCCACGAAAGCTCTTTATACTATATGTATACAATCTGTTAGTCTCTGAAGTGCCACAGGACTACTTAAAATCATAGAACTGGAAGTACCTTGAGAGGTCATCGAGTCCAGTCCCCTGCCCTCACGGAAGGACCAAGCATCATCTAGATAAATCCTGACAGGTGTCTGTCAACCTGTTCTTAAATATTTTCAGTGATGGAGATTCCACAACACCTAGGCAATTTATTCCACTGTGTTTAACCACCCTGACAGGAAATTTTCCCTAAAGTCCAACCTAAACCTCCCTTGCTGCAATTTAAGCCCATTGCTTCTTGTCCTATCCTCAGAAGCCAAGGAAAACCATTTTTCTCCCTCATCTTTGTAACATCCTTTTAGATTCTTGAAAACTGCTATCATCTCCCCTCTCTGACTTCTCCTTTCCAAACTAAACATGCTCAATTCTTTCAGTCTTCCCTCATAGGTCATGTTTTCTACATCTTTAATCATTTTTGTTGCTCTTCCCTGGACCTTCTCCAGGTTTGCCACATCTTTCTTGAAATGCGGTGCCCAGAACTGGACACAATACTCCAATTGAAGCCTAATCGGTGCAGAATAGAACCAAACAATGACTTCTCATGTCTTCCACACAATACTCCAGTTAATGCATCCCAAAATCATGTTTGCTTTCTTTGCAACAGTGTCACACTGTTGACTCATGTTTAAACTGGGGTCCACTATGACCCCAAAATCCCTTTCAGCAGTACTCCTTCCTAGACAATCACTTCCCATTCTGCATGTATAAAGCTGATTGTTCCTTTCTAAGGAGAGTATTCTGCATTTGTCCTTCTTAAACTTCATCCTACTTATCTCAGACCATTTCTCTAGCTTGTCCAGATCATTTTGAATTTTGACCCTACCCTCCAAAGCACTTGCAACCCTTCCCAGCTTGGTATCATCTGCAAACATTGTACTCTTTATGCCATCATTTTCTAAATCATTGATGAAAATATTGAACAGAACTGGTCCCAAAACACACCCCTGCAGAACCCCACTTGTTATGCCCTTCCAGCATGATTGTGAACCATTAGTAACTACTCTCCCCACAGCCCAGCTGAGCCACATGCTGGCTCCTTGCCTCTTACCTACAATGTTCAAACAGTGATACTAACTGATCAATGGTATAAGAAGCTACTTCATATACAAACACCGAAAATACTGCATAAACTAACCCAATGGATAAAAAATTAATTATACTTTCAGATGAAGTCTGTTTTTCTTATTGTTTGGATTTATGAAGGAGGAACATTAGATCCACAAATACCTTGCTATAGCAAAATTACAAAAATTACTATGACCAGGGCTTGACAAACGGTGGCAAAATATACTCGCCAGCCCCATACTGCGCATGTGCAAGACCCGCATTGCACATGCGCGTGCCGCCAGTGAACGGGGCAACCGGCTGAAATCTACTCGCCATGGGTGAATAGAAATAGCGATTTGTCGAGATCTGAGTATGACAATAAACACATGCAGGGAACCATCAGGAATACTACAATGCCAAGTATTACTCAAACAACAGTAGCACATTCTTCTGCAATTTCTGTCCATTCATTCAGCTGAGAATGATATAATGGTATTTTATTTACTATATAGTTCAACATTTTTGTTTTCCAGTTATGGAATTTGAAATAGAAGTAGAATTTTAATACTGAAACTCCATTCCCAACCCATACCACTTTGAACCAGATTTGGTCATAACACACTGGCTCATTTATGTGCCATTCTGGGAGGAATTCTTGGGAAAATTGTGTCTTAGGAAGCACGATTTCTCTGCCAACACTCCACCATGTGGGGAGAGGCAAGTATGCCCTTTGTACGGCTGACTTACTGGCTAGACTTGTGTAGGACAGAGCATGACTGTGGCCTTGCTTTCTTCTCAATTCCCTTGCTTTCCCTTTGAAGTAATTCACACACCCAAATGCTAAGTGGAAGCAGTCCCCTTTCTCTTCCAAGTATACAACTGCTACTGTAAATGGCCTCTTGCTCAAAAATGCAAGAAAAATAATGCCTTGCTTGAACCAGGGACAATCTCTCTCTGCTGCAATAGTGGGTGATCTTGCATGCCATATGTAAAATATTCTGATCCCAGAAGATGTAGGTGATCTAGGGATGAGATTTCAGACATGATCTGAGTAAAATACAGAAGAATTTAAAACACCACATATATAGCTGCATCTCTTCCTTTCCCTCACATCATAATTTCTAATCTTACTAGAACTAAATGGCATGTTTAAATCAACTTTTAAGTTTGCTATTAGTAAAAAGTATATTATTGCCAATCCTTGAAACAAGACCGAGCATTCTAGTTCCACACATATGACTTGAATATAATCACAATAGACAAAGTACATTTGATCTGTAAAGTTCCCTCTGTGGCAGTCATTAGTGATAAAAAAGAAAGAAATACTTACACTAGTGGGCCAAGGGTAGCTGTCCTTATCATCACAATGACCAGAATTACAGTTGTTAAAATGAGAGAAATAAAAGATATCTGCAAATTACAATCCAAACGTTTTATCAGTTTGCTAGTCAAAATTTCAGTAGTTTTAGCAATGTATTATTCTATCTAAAAACTTTTTTCTTCAAAAAGGTAGAATGAATGCAAAGCTACATTTTTAAGTGTCTGCCTTTTCACAGAAGCAGAAGTTTGTTTTTAAAGAAGCATTCCACGATTTCCTCATCTTTTATTTGCTGCAATTGTCTTTTAACAGCTTAATGACCATTTGAGACTTTAATCCACTGCTCCTACAAAGAGCCTTGTTTGTATAAATGTTGAGCATCTTCAGTTCCCCTAATTTTATTTAAAATTGTGGGTGCTCAGAGCTCCGAAAAAAAATCAGACCTACTGTACATACTTAAAAAATCTTAATTTATGAGTAAATGGAAAATGAAATTATTATAGGTAACAGATTTTTTTTAGTGGACAGACGAATATTTTTATATCAGCAAATTTGGCTCTTTGCACTTTTATTTTGAGAACTGTCTGGCTAGTTCGTTCCTGTGAACAAGCAATGTTTTCCTTTATTTGGGTGGTTGACATGATCTGAAATTACAAAACATAAGACAGATTCCATCCAGATATAACAAAGTACAACCCCATGGACATTATGAAGTTGCATCTGTTTGTAGCAGGTCTAAATTTGGCTTTATATCTTTTAGGTCATGAGACATTTATAAATGTTTTAAGTTTAAGGTGTTATAAAGCATACGACTGAAGAGTAAATCAATATACAGAGGTCTCAGTTTTGCCTTCTCATAAACATGAACATAAGTGTCTACCTGAAAAGATTAGATTATATAACTGGAGTAAAAACTGTCTGATTGATTGTTGGCTGCTATTGCTTCCCCACTGTTATCATTATATAAATTATTTGAGCTACACTTTTAGTGGGAGATGATTGTGTAAAATTAAGTAGCTGCAAACCAGATTATGGTCACCATCTGTGCATAAAAAGGGTTGCAGTTTACAGCATCAGTATTAGAGCTGAACAGTAGCTCACTAAATTCCCCTTACTTCAGTCAGTTAACTGGCAGTAGTAAGGAGAGGAACTGATTAATACTCTAGGAAAAGCAACAAAACATTATACTTTTTCATTACAAATTCATTTCAATATATGCAATCCATGCCTGTGAAGAAAGTGATCGAAAATTCAACAATTCAGAGCATAATGTAGAAAGTTAATTTTATTGAAAGTTTCACATGAAAAGAACTAGAATTTATTTTAATACTTTTAAAGATTAGCAATATTTTCAAGCAATCCAAGCCAGCAACAAAGTCAATATTTACAATAAATTGAAATTGTATTCTTGCTAAGGTAGAAATATGTTCTCATCAAACTATGTTTTCTTTTCTCAAATATTATTACAATTTAATGAAATTTCAAAATGATGTTGTTTTATACTGCTAATAATTCCATCACACCTGCTACTAGTAAATTTCATTTCATTTGGTCAAATTTTTGTGAATTTAAATTGCCTGTTCAAAATGTGTAACATTCAAGTGTGTTAAGTCTTTTTATATTCATTGAGGACCAGATTGTGATCTCTTTTCCAATGTTCTAAGAACATAAAAATGTCCATACTGGGTCAGACCAAAATGCCCATCTAGCCCAGTATACAGTCTTTTGATAGTGGCCAATGCCAGATGCCCCAGAAGGAATGAACAGAACAGGTAATCATCAAGCGATTCCTCCCCTGTCACCCATTTCCAGTCTCTGACAAACAGAGGATAGGAACACCATTGTTACCCATCCTGGCTAATAGCCCCTGATGGACCTGTCCTCTGTGAATTTATCTAGCTCTTTTGGAACCCTGTTAAAGTCCTGGTCTTCACAACACCCTCTGGCAAGGAGTTCCACAGGTTGATTGTGTGTTGCATGAAGAAGTACCTCCTTTTGTTTGTTTTAAACTTGCTACCTATTAATTTTGTTTGTTGACCCCCCTAGTTCTTATGTTATGGCAACAAGTAAATAACTTTTCATTATTTACTTTTTCCATACCAATCATGATTTTATAGACTTCTCTCATATCCCCCCTTAATCTCCTCTTTTCTAAACTGAAATGTCCCAGCCTTTTAAATCTCTTAAAATGGCAGCTGTTCCAAACCCCTAATAACTTTTGTTACCCTCTTCTGAACTTTTTCCAGTGCCAAGATACCTTGAGATGAGGCAACCACATCTGTACGCAGTATTCAAGGCTTGGGTATACCATGGATATATTCAGAATCAATAAGATATCCTGTCTTATTCTCTATCCCTTTTTAAATGATTCCTAACATTCTGTTTGTTTTTTTGACCACTGCTCACATTGAGTGGGTGTTTTCAGGGAACTAGCCACAATGACTCCAAGATCTCTCGAGTGACAATAGTCAATTTAGTGACGATTATTTTGTACAAACAGTTGGGATTATGTTTTCAAATATGCATTAATTTGCATATTGTGAGTATTAAAATTCATTTGCCATTTTGTTGCCCAATCACTTAGTTTTGTGAGATCTTTTTTAAGCTCTTCACAGTCTGCATTGTTCTTAACTATCTTGAGCAGTTTAGTCTCATCTGCAAATTTTGCCACCTCATTGTTTACCCATTTTTCCAGATCATTTATGAATATGTTGATTGCTCCCAGTACAAACCAATAATTTTTACCTGACAAATTATGTTCATCTATGTGTCTGACGATTCTGTTCTTTACTATATTTTCAATTAATTTGCCCTGGGCTGAAATTAGATTTACCGGTCTAATTTCCAGGATCACATCTAGAGCCCTTTTTTAAAGCTTAGCATCATATTAGCATTCTTCCAGTCATTTGGTACAGAAAATAATTTCAACACAAGTAACAAACCACTGTTAGTAGTTGCACAATTTCACATTTGAGTTCTTTCAGAACTCTTGGGTGAATGCCATCTGGTCCCAGTGTCTTGTTACTGTTTAGTTTATCCATTTGTTCCAAAACCTCCTATAATGACATCTGGAACAATTCCTTAGATTTGTCACTTAAAAAGAATCGCTCATGTTTGGGAATTTCCCTAACATCCTCAGCCAGGAAGACCAACGCAAAGAATTCATTTAGTTTCTTTGCCATTACCCTATCATCCTTGAGTGCTCCTTTAGCATCTTGATCATTCAATAGCCCCACTAGAGGCTTTCTGCTTCTCACATACTTACAAAAAGTTTTGTTATTACTTTTTGAGTTTTTGGCTAGCTTTTCTTTAAATTCCTTACACACTATCTTGCAACGTAAGTATTTAAGCTGAAATTGATGTGACTAGTTGGGGAATAAAGTACTATGCCAGGAGTGGGGAACCTCAGGCCCAGGGGCTGGATGTGGCCCCCAGCATGCCTGGATACAGCCCCTGACGCTCAGGGCCTCCCCCAGCATGGGAGAGCCAACACTGGCACTCAGCGCCCCCTCTCTCATGCTGCCTCACCACAAGACTGGAGGACAGAAAATCTACTAGACTAGCCCCTCGACCCCCACCTCTCTGGTTCTGATGTGGGAGGGGAATGTGGGGAGTGTCTTTCTCCTCCTTAGTTGTGTGTAGCCCCCGACTGATTTTTCTGTGTGTCAGTGGCCTGACCCAAAAAAGATTTCCCCACTCCTGTACTACAGCATTGGTCCTAAATCTGAGGTGTGGTTTCTTTAGGAGAGTAGTAATGATTTTCTCTCTCAGTTAACATGATGTTATTGGTTTAAACTCTGTTGTACTTAGAATTTCAGAACAAGTCCATCAGCTTCCAGACTACTCAATCATAATGTTAATTCACTTGTCAGACACACACAATAGGACTTTTCAAATGTATTCTACTCTCCTATATGCACTGAATGTTCAACATCTATTTAAAATCAATAAAAAGTCTTCCATTGATTTCAGTGGGCAGTGAAACATACCATGAAATCCAAGTGAAAACAACAGATAATACACACAAGAAGTGAGAACAAAATAGAGATGTGCTTTGCAAAGGAAGATTTTAACCTATACAAGTGCTCTACTGTGCTGTAAAAAACTGTAGGCAACATAGTTGAATACTCTCTAACTGTATAAAAAGCTGCATTTAAAACAATGATTTAATATAATTGAACCAAGAAACTCATTGGCATTATGATTTACCTTTGCCAGTTTTGCTATGTCACGATACAGAGACATAGGCAGGGTAAAGATGATGGTAGTACACAGAATGATGACTTGGCGGTAAGTAAGTAAATTATCTAGGCCAACTAAAACATAAAAGAAAAATAATATATTTAGATTTCTCTAAAAAATGGATGCGAGGAACAGATAAATTATGTTTGAAACTCTAGTAACAATGTATCTTAGATCCTGTCCCAAACTTGAAATCAAGCAAACTCTCACTAAAGTCAAAATTAGGCGTTACCTGGACTTAGGGCAGGTGTACTTGTGTTGTCCATGTTCTTTACAGGGATTTTTCCCACTAACGTGAGCACATGCCAACGTATGTATACTACAGGCAGTCCCCGACTTACGCGGATCCGACTTACGTCGGATTCGCAGTTACAAACGGGGCTGCCCCGGAGTACACGGACTGCGGGACCTCGCGGTCCTGCCGCCCGTGTACTCCGGGGCTTTCTCCGCGTCTCCCTGGTCTGCAGACCAGGAAGATGTGGAGCAAAGCCGCGGAGGGGCTCGGGCAGCAGGGCAGCCCAGGCACGCCTGGGCTGCTCTG